AATCCAATTGGTTTCTCCGATAGGAGCTGAGAAAGATCGAAGTCGTGTTCGTCATCTTCTTCATCCACGAGCGTGGAATTCCATGACAAACAATGTCATGACTTCGTCATGGTTCAACGTTTGGTTGGGTCCAAAAGGTGGTAGACGAGGAAGTTCATCGGTGTTCATCGACTGAGGTTGTTGACATAAGCCCGAGTAGACATATCAGCAGGCTTACGCATCTTGCGGCGCATGAAGCGTTTCTGCTTTTCAAGAGCCTTGTAGGGACAGACCGCTTCGATACAGGCATTTATGCCAAACGTAATGTCAGCGTCGTCCAAAGCAGGCTGAGCTGCTCCGTTCCAGGCAGCCTGGAAACGTGCTTGGAAAGTGGCTTCGTCTTCACCACCACGTATGTCGCGTGGAGGAATGCCGTTGACTGCAATCTGCGCAAGCATTCCAACGTACTTCACGGTGGCCTGCACACAGCTAGATTCGTAACTGCTCTTTGCAGAGCTAGAAGTCATCTCCTTGAGGAGGTTATGTTTGTCGGTAGGCGTAGCAATGGCGAGCCCAACGAAGACCTTCTCCATGCGTCCAGCCCACTGATGGTCTGACGTGAGTCTCAGATCCATTGATGATTTGGACCTTGAAGGTGTACTTGGCGCTGTTAGCATCTGCTGGAACAGTGCGAAGTTTGTAGGTGGTAGAGCGAGAATCGTCGATTTCGCATTCATCGTCGAGGTCGATGAGAGGAAGGATTGGTTTGTCGCGCAGCTTAGACTCGAAGCTGGTGTATGCGTCTTTGGCAATCTTCATGCTGAGGAATAGGTTGAGGGTAGTTGAAAGCTATTGTGTTTGTTAACAAAATGCACTACGCTAAAAGCTAGTGTAAAGATCTTTCGAGTGTTTTGAGTTTGAGAGAAAGAAAGTTATAAGAGGATTAGAAAGCTATGAAAAACTAATCAACGAGAGAGATCCACAACCAAAGGATCGTAGATCTGAACTCCCGCGGGAGACTGTAGAGTGTGATAGAGTAGGTTGCGGTAGCAATCCTACTCACTCCACGATCCAAAAACGGAACGCGTGGAAGATTCGTCTAGCATTTATCTAGTAGCGTGGAAGTACTCCACGCTGGCTAAATATCTAGAGCGATGTTTCATCATCAACCTAGTATGACTAGAGCGGTCATTGAGAACCCTGTCTCAATGACTATTCACGAGAGACTCAGTCATGAGTCGAACTCAAACCCTATCTAGGATCGAGTCGCGAATAAGGCTAAGAGCCGTGTATTGCAACAATGGTAACCTTGTAGGTGTACCACTTGGCACTGTTGGCATCTGCCGGGACAGTAGGTAGTTTGTACGTATAGTGGCACGAGAGTCATCGATCTCGATTCCTTCTGGATGGGTTTGTCACGCAACTGCTTGTTGTAGTTGGTGAAGGCTGGTTTGGTTGGAGCGATCTTCATGGTGAAGAATAGTGCACTACGGTAAAAGCTAGTGTAAAGATCTTTCGAGTGTTTTGAGTTTGAGAGAAGAAAGTTAAGAGATGATTAGAAAGCTATGAAAAACTAATCTTTGAGGCCATGGATAGTGTTTACTCCCATGGGCACCCGGAAATCTGGTTTTGAGTTGGGATAGCATAGATGACTACTGTTGTCTACGTAATACTCCACGGTCCAAAACGGAACACGTGGAAACTCTAGCTCTAGTAATCAACTAGAAGCATGACGCTAGCTGAATATCTAAAGCGATCTTGTGCCGCTAACCGAGTATGACTAGGAGGTCATTGAGAATCCTGTCTCAATGACTATTCGCGAAGACTCAGTCTGAGTCATGCTCAGGTCCCATCTAGGACCGAGTCACGAATAGGGCAGAGGCCGTGTATTGCATTTGCCCCCTGACAAGGGTCAACGGAAGGCACAACAACACATCTGAAAAATCCTATGGGCTTTTTTAGTAGGGTTCAATGTTTCGCTGTTGTAGTAGCATGTTTGACTTGGAAATGGATGTTTCGAATTGATGTGGGATGTTTGGCTTCGAAAAATGATAGAAAACATCTGGTTCCATGGTTGAATCGTAGGCTGATGAAACATCCGCTCACAATGTGAAAAATCCATTCGAAAGGAGGAACAAACAAGGGGACCCCGAACAAACAGTAACAAAAAATCCAACGCACCCCCAAATTGACAAAACCACCCCCACATCGGGGCAGGGGACTAGTCAGGCATTGGCACTAAAGGATAATACCTAACAAGCCGTAATACAAAACAGATGCAATTACTAACAGGCACTATAACATTTCATTAGAGAGCTACAAGAGAAGGACGTCATTCAAATTCATCAAAACCTTGGAGATAGTACTCTCTGATTCATGAAGAATTGCATCCTCTAGATCTGTACCGGAATGCGAAAGGACAATGCTACCTTTTGGGAAACCCTGGACCTTGACCTCACATTTCTCATTGACTTGGACCTTGACCTCACCTTTCTCATCGACCTCTGCCTCTGCACCGTCCCAAACATGGGGTCTCCTGCCATGCTCATCAAGGAGCAGAACTCCATCCGAATCACCCTGGTAGATTGTATCGTTCAGATAACTGGACACGACTGGCCGTCCTCTACTCATTCCTTCAGGTGTCAGGCAAACATAAATTTGCGCCCTTAGGTTGCCCTTTAGATTTGTGGAGAAGCTACCTGAATGCCAGGCTGTCGCTGGCATCATGAGGTAGCTCCCATGCTGTACGAAAGCCATCTTGTCGTCAGTGTCACCAAACTTTGGGTTGGTGATAAGTTTTAGGAACATCCCGTGCTCCTGCAACGGCATAAACACACTGAAGACGTAGACGTCTTTATCCAGAAGATCGGTTTTGATGTCCTGGTCACGGATGTCAATGTGATAGTGCTGGCAGGTTCTTGGTAAGGCAAACGTCTTAGAATGGAGGTAGGATGTATCCATTGAAACATGCTACTTTGGCACATCCCTGCCCATTGACCTGCAATGCTCCGCAGCAAGTCTGAGGGCATGTTCCTCCAGTATTTTGTAGCCTTCCTTAACCTCTGCCTGCGCCACAGCACTTTCCTTCAATGCTTTCAATGCTGTCTCTTTATCAGTGTTATCGTCCGCCATGTAAGCCTTCAGATCTTTCCTCATCATCTCAATCAAAGAGTTCCCAGTAGGATTATCTGTTTCGCCATTGCAGAACATGGTATGGTTGTACCCACTTCCTTTTTGGAAAGCAACTCCAACTCCACCCAAAAACTTGTCGGTGGTAGGGAAACCTTTCACTTTGCTCTCGTCGTAATGGAGAATGTTGCAATGTGCTTTGTCGTCTCCAGTGGCATTGAACCTGCCTCAGCATCAGAGAAATGATGAACAAGCATTGGCGACTGATCATCATCACTCATCTTTATCGTATTGCAAACATGACCCCCCCACTGCAAAACTGCCTTGTTTTTCTCCCGATCAATCTTCTGCCTTTTCATTGGCTTCTCCTTCACAACCGGATGCTTGTAGGTCATTCCACCACTCACGATGACGATGCACTCATGATCCTCTGAATTCGAAAAGAAAGCTGTCCTGGTACCAGTAAGCAGTTTCGCGAAAGTATCCTTTGAGTAGACAGGAACATCTTTGTACAACTGATGATACCTCTCCCAGGTTTCATTCAAGCAAAGAGTAAGGTTGTAGGGTTACTTTGCCTTCTTTTCATGGCTCCTCTTAACATGGTTATCGACAAGGATCCTCATCAGTCGTTCCTGGACAATCTGTTGCGGGTATCCAACACCAACAGAGTGGAGCATGCCGGACCTATGCTGCCCCTTCAAGTTCCTGTTTTTGCTAAGACATTCATCATAGAATTTCTGGAAGGCTTTGTTGTCTGTTTGGAAGAGAAACAGACCCCCTGTCGCACAGAGAATAGGAAACCCTTTCCTTGAACAATCACTACCGAGCGGCCTAGGCTGGCAGACCCTCAAGGCAAAGGTTCCTTTCTTGCCAAAGTGTGGATTGAAGGTGGACCAAAAGTGGACTGCAATCTCGCAGTACTGGGGGGGGGATTCACCAGGAGAGTTTAAGATCCCAAAGAAGTCTTCCATTTGCTGCAGGTTATCTGAGCGAACGTTTCTCCTCCCCGCACAAGGGCATGTCCTCACCATTGAGAACCTTTTTGAGATCCAAAAGACAATTGCAGCCTTCTTTTAACATTTCTTTTTACCTTTGGCGACACAAGCAAAAGACTCCTGGATCCTTCCCAGAATAGACCGGTGGCCCAATCGGTTATTGGAGTACATTGGCGAGTTGTACAATATTTGGAGGCAAGTGTTGGCTGTTCAGGCGGTGGACTTGGGACTGTACGATACCAAATTATTGACAAAGCAATGAGGGATGAGCATGCACGTGAGCAGCCTTCCCAATCAGGGTAACTATGCGCCAATGCGGGATTCCCATAGCAATAGCGGGAGATTTAACCTCGCCTAGATAGTTAGTCGTACAGCACCCTCCGGAGTTTTGTTCAATTTCTCCAGTGGGGGGCTTACACTAGGCCCATCCTAAGTGGGCGCCCTTGTGCGCCTGAGGTATATGGGTTCGTCACGGCACCGTTCAGCGGATTGTCTGACGAGGTGTAGCCTTTAAAATAAAATTTCGTTATTTTGTACGATACCAAATTATGATCTGTTCAGGCGGTGGACTTTTGAGCCGTGGACTTTGAGCTGTATGCGGACTTTGAGCTGTATGCCGAATCTGGTACTAGGGGTGAGTGGATGTTCAGGCGTTGGACACACTGCTGTGCAGTGTTTGAGCTGTATGCCGAATCTGGCACTGGTTTTGAGCTGTATGCCGAATCCGGTACTACGGGTGAGTGGATGTTCAGGCGTTGGTCACACTGTGTTTGAGCTGTATGCCGAATCCGGTACTACGGGTGAGTGGATGTTCAGGCGTTGGTCACACTCATCTAAGAAGCGCATTTTGGGCAAAGTGGATATTATGGGAAGGTGCACAAATGCTGGATCAAATTTTAGCGACTCATTTATGTGGGTCCCTTATCATGTCGAAGGGCATTATTTTACCACATACGCCAAATCATGTACTCGTTCACAGATCATATTGCCCAAATGAAGAAACATAATGTCCCTGCGAGTCCGTCATATTCTTGTGGAAGTGCGTCGAAAAAGTGTGCTCCGTACAGAGATCGTGCGTGGATATTTGGCGCAAATGCCTCCAAAAAGTGAGCTTGGGTAAGTGATAGGACGGCACGTAGCTTTGCCGGAGTCCCCGGACATTTTGCGCAAGTGCATACAAATAGTGAGCACAAGCCGCAAAGGGGCATCACAGAATTTTACCCAATGGCGCTGAGATCGCATGCAAGACGCCAAAGATCCCGTGCACAAGCCGACACAACCATACCTACATTATCCGTCATTACTTTGCCCAAGTGAACATGACTACGACAGCAATGACAAAGCAGTTTACAACTAGATAATCGTTAACTTAGTTATTAGCTCAGAAAACAGTACCATTTAGTAGGAGAGGGCAATAGAAAGCAGGGCTGAGCAGAAATGTCTTTGGTTATTGCAGAAACAGTTCGCAGAAAGTCACAGAAACGTGACGCAAACACTGCAGAAGAAATGTCCAATTGGATGAACAGATTTGCTGACTTGCCCAAACTTTTTTCGGAAACCAGGCCAGAAGATCCATCAGAGGCCAAGAAATGCCCAAATGGGCCAAACAAAGATGCTCTCACATGTATGCATCGTCATCTTCATCGTCCAAGGTGGTAACCGTCTTGGCCTTTTTAGCCTGGAGCGGCTCCAAGGCGTTCTTGGCTCTGCGCTTGTTGGCCTTGTTGAGTTTCTGCTGTTGCTTGTGGGAGCCACATGTGTGCCCATTTGCAATGCGCAAAAGCTCCAGAGTCTTCTGCTCCAGACTGATAATGCTGCCCGTGTGGACACTGGAATGGGCCTCTTTCACCTTTTTCTTGTATTGGTTGTAGGCTTCCAAACCATCACGATGAGATTATGCCATAGGAGCCATATGGGTGCGGCGCAGCTGTGCTGGCTCAGTCTGATGGAAAGATCGCTGTTGCATCTGTACAGTCTTTCAGTACAATGAGCTGTGTCACCATCAGACAAGATAGGAACAGCTGTAGAGGACATAGAGTTCCTCTGTAAGGAAGGATGATGCAGTTCCTCAGCCATGACCTATCTAGAAAGATAGCTTGGTCAATACCAGCCAAAAGAGATGCATGGATCTGTATCCTGCATGCTGGAGGATGGAGTTTCACGCAAAATCAGAGTTTGTGTTCATATATAGTTTAAAGAAGTAATGAAGAAGTAGTTGACCAGAAACAGACCCAACAGCACAAGTAGAGCTCTGCAGTAGACAGATCCTGTATGGCCAGTGCCAGGGTATTGAGCAATTAGACTGGTTCAATCATTGCTTCCACAGTGATGAATAGCATTGGCTGCCAGCCTTGGGCTGGCCTTTCCACGCCAGTGGAAGGAGATCTCCACAAACAGGGCTCTCCATCCCAGCTCTTGTGCACCCACCAGCTGAGTTCCCTGGAATTCATAGGATAACTTGTCGCAAGCACACAAGAGGGCTAGTGTGGAAATCGTGAAGGACAAAGAGAGGAGGAGTTGCCGATCCATCCGGATCAACCTGCCGACACGACGACCGAAACTGGAATCCGGACGTTGAGCCGGAGAGCGACCGTAAGTCAGAAAGTCGCCATCTCTACAACAGACATGCAGATACCGTGACCCCTAGTGCAATGCCTGTTAATCAAGCTTCGGTTCTACTGCCCGGCAGTGGAAGGTATCGGCGATCAACACAACCACAAGAAAATCGCGACAGGATCTGCCCGACTAACTCGACTAACAAGCGGTAGACAAACCAAGGGTCACCTCTAACCTGAGGTGCTCTACATAAACAGCCAGTTTCTTGTTAATGGCCCAGTCAACTGGCCGACGGCATTTTCCGTTGAATATCATTGTTTCGATCCGTACGGAAGAGCGATTTTCTCAGTCGTGCCTCCGGAGGCTACTGGTTGAACCGGTACTCACACGTACTCACAAAACCGTACCGTAACCCGGGACTCTGTTCAAAGCGCCGACGCTGCTCGAATAGGCCTCACATTTCTCAATTCCAACGGAAGATCGTATGAAGATACATCGAGTGACTTCCAGGAGTACTCGAGCATCCACGATGCACCTTTCGAAGGTTTCAAGATGCCAAGGGTATCAGCGTGTCAAGCAGCCTTTGGTTGGTCATCTACCAATAGTGCAAGTCTCAAGGGCCAGTTTTGGATTTTCTACAGCAACACCTCTACACCACACTCAGCCAGCGCACCAACAACCATCATGGCTCGCAAGAAGAAGAAGCAACAACAACCGCACAGTCTGCCAGTGGTGCTCCACCAATAGCACCCAGCAATATCACTGTAGATGGAGATGGCAACACCAACAGGTCACCACTCAGGGCCTCCACTCCAGTCCCATCCATGAAAGGACACCTGTGGACCCCCTACGGCCACCATACAAGGCCTCCAGTTGTGACTCCTTCTCCACCAGCCAAACCAAGGTGTTACCCTTTCAATGATCAGCCACCCAACTGGCAATAGCATTGAAGAAGATGAACCAAATGAACCAAGCTCCCTTGGCCCCACCACAAGGCCCAAATACCAATCAGCTTGGCTCATCCCATCCACTGACTACATCCCTGCACACCTGATTTATCACACAAGCCTAGCACCTGAGATCAAGGCTAGGAGGACCGATTCAGAACCAAGTAGTTTGGAACAAGATTTGTTGGGTGATGTGTGAGGCACCTCTTGGTGTCATCCATCCCAACCCAAGGTTGTTATGGATGTTGCCCCTTCCCCTGCTGAGGTGGATACCATCACCAGGTGTGGGCCCTCAATGGGGAGGTATCCCCCAACCACACACCCACTTATATTGTGGAATCCCACCAACACCCTATTCAGTATGTACCAACTACAAACCGGTTTCTTCATCCCTACACCAATTCAACCTGTGCCTTCAGCAGCCTATCAGCCCATACCTATTAGGCCCACATCATTCCATACACCAGTACACCCAGACATTCCCCATTATTCCAGTCAGCCAACCTAATGATCAACCGGAGAACCGAGAAGGAAGTCAGCCTTCACTCCCACCCATGATGGCAATGATGTCTTCCAAGTCCCA